GCACACACACACACACACACACACACACACACACACACACGTCCTTTAATCTGAAGTATCCGGACTTATATTCAAGATAAATGGGTATTTTTCTCATCAAAAGGAAGACAATTGAACAAGCTTGAAGATGATACCAATAACTCGATAAAATGCCCAAAACTACGGAGCGCCTGATTCCATCGCGTGTCCTGACATGATATTTTCTAGACAAGGCCATCACCCCTGTGTCAAGAAGCAACGCGACAAGAGATTGTCGCCAAGAAAACCGCCATAGAATGTGTACACAAAAGAATCATTGTCATGAAAATTTACACATATCCGTACAGGAAAGGAAATAATTATTATATCTATGCAGAGGAGGTTACGTCAAGTCATGCGAGTGGAGATATATATCTGTCATGTACAGAAAGTTGCATGTCGTGTTTTGAAAACCGCCTCCAGAATAAATGTGAAGAAGACATCCTCTCTCTCCCGTGTGAAAAGTTGTTGCGAGCATTCAACCATGTAGTGAGTGATGAAGTGGATTAAAAAAATATTCTCAAGCAATCGTTTGCAGACAGTAGTAGTAGTATAAGGTTTTACGGCGCTCGCAACTGCTAAGGTCATATGAGCGCGCAGTTTGCAGACATATTAGGCAGTGGATAGATCTAACATTTTGTATGAATTGGCGTCTGGGATGTGAGGGTTAAGTTCTTTACCTTTCTGCATGACGACAGTAACTCGCCGTAGGTGATGTTGTTTTGTATTGCAATAAAGAAAAACAAATAGCGTGATGCTTAAGGTAAAAGTATTGTGGACTGGAGGGCGCCACTGGTAGGTCTTATGTTTTTCCCTGTCCCTCTGTTGTTTCTCCTTGTGGCTGTTTTTTGTTGTTGTTGTTGTTGTTGTTGGGGGTTGTTGGTTGTTTTTTTTTGGGGGGGGGTTTGGTTGTTGTTTGGTTGTTTTTTGTTTTTTGCTCTTTCATTGCACCAATTGGTCGCTTTTAAGGACAAGCGGGCTAACTCAGATTTCAGGGGTTTCCAAAAATCTTGACCTACACTAAAAGTGGGCATTGCCCTACCTATAGGAGAAGTTTGGTTACATTGGTGTGTATATTTGTTTGGTTATAGAGAAAACTCTCCTTGTCTTTTAAAGAAAATGAACAGGGGTCCGAAAACTTTACCTTCGATTTTCTCAAAACAGCATTTTTGGGGATAACCCCCTTGTGCTTAAAGCGACCAGATGACCGTCTGTCTTTTGGTTAGCTTCCATTTACTCCAACAAACAAATAAAAGTATCTCGGTTCTCCCAAGGAGGTTATAGAAATAGATATTCTGAGACTGAGCCTAGGGTACTCTTTCAGCTTGGACCTAGCTGTGACACTCACACTTGGGCGACAAAAGGAGAAAAGAACCCACTAAAAACATGGTGAACAGCGGAAGTTATATTATATTTTTATCTGTCTGTTTCGATGAGATTTGTCACTCCTGTCACAAGAGCAGAGAGATGTTATTCTCAACAAAAAACCCTCCCCTCCCCCCCCAAAAAAAAACCCCCCAATCCTTCAACCCCTAAAACCATACCGTCATTGAAATGCTGCATAATAATGAAAGTAATACATGGAAGAAGAAGAAGAAGAAGAAGAAGAAGAAGAAGAAGAAGAAGAAGAAGAAGAAGAAGAAGAAGAAGAAGAAGAAGAAGAAG